CAAAAGATGTGGCTAAAATGGTAATTTCAAGACCGACATCTTTTATAAAGGAATTGTTACTTTTGGAGTTTATATGAAGGAGTTATAGGGAGTTGAAGGCGACACTTCTAAATCAAAGGTAGTAAGTAAGCGGTTTTATTTATAAGAATGTTTGGAGCCATAACTTCCATTTTTTGACAAATTTTTGACTCAAACTTTTTGGAGAATGTATCATTTTGTGTTAAAAACTATACATATAAATTTTGTGGCATTTAAACTTATATTTTGTGAGATATGAAGAAAATTGCACATGGGTGTATAAAAACAAGGGTTTAAATTGATTATTAGGATTTTTAAGATATCTCAAGATCCACAATAAATTTGTGTTTGAAATTTATTATAAAAGTTAATAAGAATACATCAATACCTCATATAAAATTTGAATTTTTTTAGACAGTCGAGTTACAAGATATGATACAATGAAGTTTGAAAAAATTTCGACATAAGGATATACAAAGTTTTAGAGGATTTTATCATATTTTGGGTGTCATTTGTTACTTAAGGCTTATATATGTGGTGTAATTGATCAAAAAGAAAAAATTTACATATAAACTTAGGGATTCTCTTATTTTGAAGCTTGATTGAATAATTAGTGATAGCTAGAAGTCCAACATTTTCTTAAGGAAAATTCTCTCTACCCCCACTATGGAATATTGTTCAAGAATTATGAAACCAAGAGTTGTCTTACATAAAAAATTTAATGGTTTAAGATTAAAATTTTGAAGATTTACTAATCAAATGTAACTTAAGATTAAATTTTGATATCAAAGCTATTCAATTCCAAAATCATAAGTCAAGTTTATTCAAATACTAATTTCAAGTTTTATTTTATCTTGATTTTTATTTTTTTTAAATGATGTGATTTAATATTAGATAATTTTAAAGATTTTTTTGGCATAGTTTCAATTCATATATATGGAACATGATGCAATTTTTAGTACAACCAATAAAATTTATATTTTATATTAATGCAATCATTTAGTAACATTATTTGTTTCATAATTTTAAAAACTTGCAATTGATATCAAGTAGGAGGATGCTGCACTTATTAGCCAATTTTTCTACAAATTATAATATGAGATAAAGAAATTGATACCAAACTTGTTTAATCCTCAAACATTGATTCAAGCAATTGACTTTGCTATAAAGTGTGAAAATTAGTTTTTTTGATTTTCATTAAAAATTACTTATGCAATATAAGTAAGACTCAATATTTTTACTATTTAATGGTAGAACCAATGTATTATGAATAGATACATTTGGAAGTAAAAGACATATAAATTGACATAATATGTTTTGAACCTCTTATTGAACAAGAAAAGACTAGACATTGTTATAATACGAGAAGTCTTGCTTGAGAATGCTCCGAGCACCTAGTTGTAGAAGGTAGAATGGAAATTGCAACAACAAAATCCTAATTTTGATAGAATACTAACTAAACTCTAATTAGACCATAACAATGCTAAGTAAGCTTTAATCAAATTCAAATAAATCTCAAAGGAATTACAAAGAAATAATAAGAAATCTTAAAGCAATATTAGAATGATCACAAATATATCTCAAATACATCTCAATTCAATCTTAATTTAATCCTAGTTAAAATCCTATTGGACTTCATTCAATCTTTAGGCAAAAAACTATTTAAATCTTAAATCCTAAACAAACTCAAATAAAATTCTAAACCCTAAATCAAACCCTAACCAAATCTTAAATCCTAAATCAAATCTTAACCAACCTTAAATCAAATCCTAAATCCTAAATCAAATCTTAATCAACCCTAAATCAAATCCTAAATCTTAACCGAATCCTAACTAAATCCTAATTAAATCCTAACTCTAAATCAAATCCTAATCAAATTCTAAATCCTAAATCAAACCTTAATTCTAAATCAAGCCCTAAGCAAATCTTAAATCTTAAACCAAATCCTAATCTTAAATCAAATCCTAACCAAATCTTAACCCTAATTCAAATCCTAACCAAATCCTGACTCTAAATCAAATCCTAATCAAATCCTAATCAAATCCTAATCCTAAATCAAACTCTAATCAAACCCTAATCAAATCCTAATCCTAAATCAAACTCTAATCAAACCCTAAACCCTAACCAAATCCTAAACCAAACCTTAGTAATTCCTACAACAGATTTATACCTCAATTACAAATGAACTATTGATCTTAACTCAAAATTTGCATGCTTTTTAACAATTAAGTTGAAAACAAGTACAAAAAATTTAGAAAAGGATCAAAATTATCAAATAGACGATAGCCTCAAAAATGTGCTTGGATATTGGCCAGCCTCCTTCTTTGACCTTAATGCCAATCTCTCAGAGCCAATATCTCTTCTTTTCACTGTTTGATTGATTTCAAAATTCTCATACACATAGGAAAACAAGTCTAATATCTTCTCACATAAATTTCACTCCAATTCAACTAGTAGATTGCTAGAAATCTTAAAAATCCTCACTGGATCTAAAATTCTACTTTTTGAGACCTTTACCCACTTAAACCTCAATAATCCTCAATTTAACCATTAGATCGAGCTAAGATTCACAACATATCTTAAGCACAATTATGACCATTAATCCACAAAATTTCACCTGTAGATCTGTTACAAAACTCTTGAAATCACTAGAAATGTCAACCCTATTTTATTTCACAAAATCCAAGTCATCTGAAAACAATCTTAACTTTGTAAAGCTCTTATAAAGTCATAACAAATCCAAATCATCCAAAACCAATGCTTATAGAAACTTTATCCAATCTGCTATTAAATCTCACTCTTTGATTTGCAAAAGAACCTCCAAGTTGCCGTAGGTACTCGGTTTTCTGCCCTAAGGTTTGATTTCGACCCAAGTTGATAATTGGTCCTCATCAGGTATCAATATCTAGTTTTTTTAGGTATTGTTTTTTAGAATTTACTCTTAACTTCTTCTTAAAGATAATTACATCATTTGTTTTTCTAATCTATCTTATTTTGCATTATTATGGTCCTATAAAGTAAATAGAAGTCACTTTTATAAAAAGATAGTACTACTATTAAAAGTTTTACCATCTTCTTATCTTTTATCTATATTTTTTTACTTTATCTTTTAACTTGGCTCTTCTATGATAAGATCCATATTATCATCTTTTACCATATAGTCGTGTTACAACATGACAACGAGATGAAGAAGGATTGTGCTTATGTTGAAGAAAACCTATATATATTGCTTAACATTGTTCAAAGAAACAATACAACCACAAAATAAGTACATATATTAAAGATGATAATATGTTAAAAAATAATTTTTTTAACTAAAATAGGAATTATGCACCTAGAATTTTATACAATATTTGATGAAGGTCTAATTATCTCTTCAAAATCTTCTTCTTATTTTAGAATAGATATTTGTTGTAGATCTAAAAATCACAAAGCATTTGCCTTGCTTGATTTAAGAGCCTTAGTTTTTTTTTTTTTTTTTTTTTTTTTTTTTTTTTTTAAATGTAGAATTTGTTAAAAGGTATAAAATGTTCTTCATAAATAAAACTTAATATGTACACAAAGAAGTCATAGATGAATGTTCATTGTCTTTTACAGATATTATCTATAAAACTATTCTTATAGATATAGCAATAAATAGTCATAACAGCTTAATGATATTGAATATTATTGAATCTACATCAAACCTAATTATTTTAGATTTATCTTGATTAAAAAGTTATAATTTGTAGATAGATTTGACTTCTTGTAGTTTTAATTTTTTTTCAAAATATAATTAAGACTTTTTTTATCAAATATAAAGTCATAAGTCTCGTATAATCAAATCTTTTTTTATAAGTGTAAGAACTTTTATCCATATTGTATAAGAAAGATTATATTTTGTTATTTATACCACATCTATTTTAAATTACATAAAATACTTTAAGAGACATCTATTATAATCTTGAAGACAACATAATATAGATGAAGACCCTTAAGAACAATATGTTTTTCCTCAATTAAATAGCAAGATACAATATGTTTGGTAAAACAACCTTGAAAAAGACTTTTAATGCTTAATGATATTGTTGGAGATAAGGACTACTCTTGATAGTGTTCCAAAATTTTTTGTTTGAAGAAAGTTATGAAGCTCTCAAGAATGATCAAATAATAGGATAGTCTTCCCGCTTTAGTATAAGACACTATCGATGGTTGAGATGACATATCTATTACCTTTAAAAAGAATAAAAATCAAAATATGTGGTAAATATAATATGTTGCATCTTTGACTTCCTTAACATGTGACTACCACTTCTTGTGTAACTTGTTTTAAGAAAGATAGTTAATATCATGGACATAATTGACAATAGAAATTACCTAAATAAAAAGAATTAAGTAGAAATAAATAAAAGTAGGCAAATTAGATAACATCTTATAGAGAAGCCTTATAGATGTGGATTTTACTTAATATATGTATCATTATGATTTATTTTATATCAATATTCTCTTTCTTATCTTTAATCTTTGTTTAAAAAAATACATTCAAATCTAAGCTATATGAAAGTAAATACATCAAAATTTTAAACTAAGCTCAATCTTATTCAAACATGGTAAAGAAAAAAAGATTCAAATGAATTCTATCCTTTTATTAAAAAAAATTGGAAAAATAAATCAAAAGTAGAATATTATAAAATAAATATTAGAAATCAATAATGTTTTATTGAGTGGCACAATTTACTTAAAAGAATGCAACACATCCTTGTCGCAGATACAACCCACACTTATCAACTCACTCATTTATCTATTGTCAATGCCTGGTATGTCAAGCAAGTTGCAAGGCCAAATAATCACAAGCCTATTACGGCAACATGCCAAATTTGTGTCAGTAATTGGTTTCCCGAGAGGGCGAGGCGGGGGTTATTCCGGGTATAAACCTTATCCCTTCTTCCCGGGTATCACCCCTCTTCTCGTTGCGCTGGTTCTTTGCTTTTGAACCCTCGTCATGTTTCGTTGCCTTCATCTTCTCAGAATTGTTGTGCCCCTGTCTTTGCAAGCCTCTAAGGTTGAGGGGGTCTCGTTACTGAAGCTTGGAAGGCAGGAGTCATGGCCATGGCATCGCTCGTCGTGGTTCCCTCTTCGTTGAGCTGCTCTTCCTCCACCTTCTTTACTGCTCTTCCCTTGCTAAGTAATATAGCGGCGTCCGCGTCTTCGTGTGTGTCCGTCTCGCTGCCCGCCATTGTGTGCGGCCGGGGCGACAGGCGCACTGCAAAGGGCAAGCGCGCTCGCGGCTCATTCGGCAACTGCCGCCCTAAGGACTCCTCCAAGGGGACTGGATTGGCCGTCACGCCGCTGCCACCACGGACCAAGAAGGAGGTTGAGGATACCGAGTTCATCAACGTGGAGATTGACGAGAGTCTCTTCAACAGGCAATGAGGATTTGAATGTATTTGGCTATTACTGCACTATGCTGTCCTTCGAAGTTATTGTTATAGCCATTTTTGGACCTTCAAGGCCTACGTGGAGATTTTTGTATGGTATGGTGTTTTTCTTTTAAATTTAATTCTTCAATTTAGCGTTTCAACCATTTTTTCACCGTATCTATTTTTCTGGAATGGACAACTGCACTCGCATTTCAAATTCATGGTTCGAACACCAATGCCGCATCTCTTTTCATGGGTGTCTTGGTTCATTTATATATGAGGCGAGGGTTACTAGATTTTATGATATCTGAGCGGACTGCTCATAGACTTATAAATTGGTTGTAGAGGCGGAATATAGGAACCAGCATTGGTGTGTTCAAAAAGATAAGTATGGATTTAGAAGTGAGCTTGTCTTTGAACATTGCACGGAGGTTGGAGCGAGACGTGAGAAACAAGTACATTGCACTGCACAAAACTTGCTTTGATTTCAAAAGGAAATGATACATCACTCCACTCTGGGTAGTCCGAAAACCCATTTACAGTTCACAATTGCTGATAGTATAGCCAAACAATCCAAATGCGTGACTTCTGATAGCGAAAGCCCTTCCAAGTACACGTGAAGGTTCCTCCACGTGCTTTTTTGGAAGGGTCTCCGCTTCCACAAGCAATGGCATCAGATATAGTGCACCATACCCACTTGCAACAAATTAGTGTGGGGGATATCGAAGGTATCGATGATGCTTCGACAGTTGCGACGCAGGAATCCATAGTAGTCGTCAATAATGAACTTTCGAAGGAAATTTGATTCCGACTTGCACCGCAAATTTGTGTGCCCAAGGATGTAAATTACACCGTTTTGTCTGGCTTGCTGCAGACCCTCAATCTTCCTTTGCGCCCTGCTGTCAATCTCAATGTCGTGGTCAGTTTTCCGCCCCTTGTCGTGGGCACCCGTAACAAGGCTTCCTCCTGCTTGGTAGTCTTCGAGTGCTCTGCAATCTTCATTGGCAGGATTCGAGGCCAATTCTAGTTGCAATGCTCCTGCGGCCTCAGCTCGAAGAAATTCCTCGAGGCTGCTCATGAGTTCGTCTTCAAGTTCGGCACCACGACCATCATCATCTTTGTAGCCGTATCGCACAGCACACCGGTACATACGATAGGCTGGGGGACCCACTCGGCGGAGCAGGATGCGTTCTTCCGCAGGAACTGTAGGCATGGGCAGATTCTTGATGCAGACCAAAATCAGGGTGGAGTGCATGGCGGGGAGGTTGCTAATCAAGTGCCCAAATATGCCAGGTACACCCTGAGAATTCCACAATAAGGCAAAGGATGGATTAATTAACAGTGAACTCAATTGTTAGTTCTATGGGTTGCAACAGGAGGACAGAATGTGAGTAATCTCGGAGCTGTGTTGTACATGTTCAGGGCTAGAAGTTAACTCAATTTAAAGTACGTTAAGCCACTGTCGCTAATAGATGTAGAGATAGTTTTCCTTGTAAAGCCTATGACGGTTTTTGAGTACAGAAATTTCATTATTTGAATTTGACTAGGTACCTGTGGTAGTTCGGTGTAGATGAGGCTGATCCCCGGAACACGAGCAATGCCCAGGTTTGAGCCGAGCCCCAGCAACCAGTTCATTGATAGCTTGTTGTTGACTTCATATTTGAATGCCTCCTTCCGGGTGTAGTACCAAGTGTACATGATTGAAATGAGCCCTGTCACAAACGCAATTGGAATCCAACCATATTGCGGGATCTTGTACATCACAGAAGAGAAATATACCAACTCTATGGCGCCGAAGAAATCAAAGAAAGCGAGAGTAAGCCACAAGTTCTTTTGCCAGATCATGAGCATGATGAACGACACGAAGAACGTTGTCATGAAAATAACGGCCACCACAGTTACACCATACGCATTGCCGATCTTGGCTGTGTCTTGAAGCGCCGCAGTAACAATTATGCACATTACCATGAGGGCCCAGTTTATTTCAGGGATGTAGATTTGGCCTTCATACTTGGGAGATGTGTGGACAATCTTGCATCGTGGGAAACATCCCAAAGCCATTGATTGGACAACAATGGAAAAGACTCCCAAAATCATGGCTTGGCTAGCAATAACGGCAGCTGCAGTCGCCACTACGAACATGGGCCAGTACACGGGCTCTGGATATGAACAAAGATACCATGTTATCTAAGTTCAAACATCGCTTCAACGTCGTTGAATTAAATCCCTACTGAAACTGATTGCGCAAATCAATTAGGGAAAACGAGACAAGGGGAGTTGGTGGGCAGTACTCACTTGGAATTGAGGAATAGAACGTGGTGCTAACCATATCCTGATGCTTCATGAGCCATGCAGCTTGGCCTATGTAAGCTAGAATCAAGCAAGGGTATGCCACAATGGTGCAAGAGATCTGCAAAAGTAGTCAATGTAAGCGAAGGTTGTCCATGTGGGTGCAACGCTAAACCTACTTGACACGAAGAAACATGCGCTTGCTTCACGAATTTGAATTTTCAGTGTTCGATTGAAAACTACATCCCTCAGCAAGAGCATCTCACCTTAATCATTTCAGACATTTTACTAAGAAAAAGTTAATGTATAGCGGTTAAGACCGAGAGTTAGTATCGAATTTAAATTCTACCTGAATTGATGCTACGGAGAAGTGAGCAAGATCGGCGAACATGGCTTCCGACCCTGCATTTTCAGACAAAGCTTATTGGGAAAGTGCCCACAATGATTGGCTTACAATCGGCAAGCTGCAGACGCGGTGTCCATCAGCATGTCCAAGGTCCATTATCCTATCACATCAAGCTGTTGAAGGATTGAATAAATTGGTAGGATTTCACGCTTGCTGTTGTTTGACAACCATACCTGTAATTGCAAGAACAACACCTCCAAGCGAGACCCATCCGTCCCTCTTGTTGCGTTTGAAAAACGAATTGATGTAGTAAGGGTTGAACGCCTTGAAAATGGAGGGGTCAAATTTGATGATGTTGTAAATGCCGATGAGTGCAATGCAGGCGAACCACAAGCAAATGCAAGGCGCAAAGCTGTTGCCCACTTTATGCGTACCGAACCTCTGAATGGCGAACAGCACCACCAAGCTTGCGACGGACACCTCGACCACCACATCTGCACACGAAATACTCAGACAGTGACGAAGCTTGTGGCATCTTATTTAATAATCTTCAACAGATTTCTTATGCTGGGATGAGGTAGAGCATTGATTGAGAGATAGCAGAGCTTGGAGCTGCTGTACTAACCGTTTGATATTGTTGGTGTGTTGACCTTGAGTCCTGACACGGCTGAGAGCACTGAAGGCAACCAACACACATGGGAGTGAAGACATTAATTTTGTGATAATTTTTGGTAAGATTGACTTAACTTAGCCCCCAAGACTGCGATGGATGTGTACCTGAGATGGAAGGGGTCAGGACGCCATCGCCGATGACACAGCACGTCCCGACCAGTGCCACAGTCAGCAAGAGATTCTTCCAGAACCTGCTCCTCTCGAGATACTCCTTGATCTTTGCTGCACGTTTCGCATTTTGCGTTGGGAGGTCCAGCTGGTAAGTGGAAAGAACTCGATCCTCTGGAGCTTGATTGGTGGCCAAGTTGATCTTCGCGTAGCGGCATATCAGTGAGTAGAGAGCAAACGTCCCACCTGCAGTTACCCGTGCCATCGAGTTGTTCAGTGTGCGGATTCGTTAAATACTTGCAGAATGTCACTTCAAATGAGCTCTTCAAGCAGACGAGACAGCTCAACCTATTTGACTGTCTTCCTTTCAAATTGCCCGTCTTTCTGAATTTAACTGAATATCAATATCGCAGACCCTTAAAGTGCGCGATTGGTAGAGCACTTAGGGGAAATGAGTTAAGGATAAGTTTATTTTATTTATTTATTTATTTATTTTTTTTGGAGAATGCAAAACCCACAGGTGGAGACTAACCATTGCCGTTGTCGTTGGCCTGAAGGACAATGAAACAATACTTGATGAGGGGAATGAGCGTAAAAGTGTAGATGATGAGGCTAAGCACACCCAGAATGTCGTCGTTCAACGCAGGGATGAAATTGCCTGCGTCGTCCGTCTTATTCAAGACGTGTGTGCTTGCGTACACGTACAGTGGCGATGTCCCGATGTCACCGTAGATTACTCCAATGCTCTGGAAGGCGAGATGCGCAGTGGTTATCCTCGAAATTTTCTGAAAGGATCAGCAACGGAAAAGCACACGCCCACCATGAGTACTCACAGCTCGAATTTCGAATCCCACCCCCGGCACTGCGGCAGCGCTTTTGCGGACTTGTGGGTGGCCGAGGTGGGCCTGCGTCACGACCTCAAATGGTTGTGCTTCAATGCAACGCACACGGCAGCGTCAACATGAATCAGCCTCAAGATAGATAGATATAGATTAATAGATATATCAGATTCTGTTGAATGTCCCATATTATATGTACAGAAAGCTGTAACTTATCCAGCTCTTAAATAAGACACTGGAATTGCCCATCCCTTTCATTGCTTGACTTCCTACAACAAATGATGTCCATCCGATTTTCATAACACATCATGTTTTCATAACATGGTATCAGAGTTGGATGAACAGTGTTGTGGATGAGATTTGTCTGAATCGAATTTGGATGAACGGATTGGATGTTTTTGTAGGTGAAAACTTGGATGGAAGTATTCTATGGATGATGTACTTGCTGCTAGAGCTCCATTTCCATTGGAATGTTGTTGAAGTCGAGGAGTTGTTAGAATTGCTAGATGAATTTAATTCTATTGATGTTGATTTTTATTTAATTGAATTCTATATATTGTTCGTAGTGAAAAGTTTTTTTTTGCTCCAATATAGCTTAATACTACTACTACTCCTCAAATATTGTATTTTGTAGGCCATTTGTTAATTATTCACTTATAGTTATTTATTGCTATTGTATTAGTTGTATTAGTTATTTGTTGCTATTGTAGTAGTTGTATTTAGTAATGGCATCATCTTCAATGTATCATTACATTGATTAATTAGATGAGAAAAACTATGGTGCATGGACATTTGTTATGAAACACTTGATGTGCATTTATAAGATCTACATGTATGTAGGCAAGACATTAGAATGTCCTATAGGTATTGATGAAAAAAATTAAAATAAGAATTAAGTGAAGTAAAAGTACAAACATTGATTGCACTTAATGTTAAGTCTTCACAATTAACTCATATATGCAAATGTAATGCTACAAAAGAGATGTGGGGCATATTGGCTAAGATTTGTAAGCCCTTAAGAATTATTAGTAAGATATTTTTAATCAAGAAATTGCATAATCTTTGATATGTGGATGGAAAGCTTATGGAAATTAATTTTGGAGAGATTTTTTATCTTAGGGATCAGTACATTGAAGTTGGTAGTGAAATGAGCAAATAGAGCATGGCATTTTTTATACTTACTATATTACTATAATTTTCTATTATTGGCAAGGTCTATAGGTAATCTTTTTTACACAAGCACAAGCATGCCACTAGTATTTTAGATATAATAGTGTTTGACCTTTGTTATTCTAATACGCCTAGCTTTGGTGGTGCCAAATGATTAGCTGTGCAGATTAATGAATATTATGGTTATTGTAGCCTTATATTTTTTCAAATTAAAAACCAAGTATATTTTACTTATAAGCCTTGGGAAACAAAGGCACAAAAAAGAAGAAGAAGAATAATAAAAACTTTTAACATTGATCAAGATACTAAATTCTTGAATAATAAGCTTAATCTTTACTTTAAAACTAAAGGCATTTAGTACATGATTACTCTTACACATATATATAAAATTATCAACATAAAAAGCATATAATATGGATTATTTTTAGAGTACAAACACTTTTAGATGATGCTAAGTTAGATCATCAATATCAAGCATTTGAAGCAAAATTTATGACTTGGACTTGCAATCACCTTCAATTTGCAAGACTTGGTGGTAAGACACCACACAAAGTTTTTTATGGTGAAAAAGCTTCTCTTCAAAATGTTTATTATTTTGATTTTATTGCTTGATATCACATACTAAAAGAAAAATATCAAAAGTTCAATGTAAAGATAAGAAGGATATTTTTGTTGAATATTCAAAAATAGCAAAAAGATATGAAATTTTTCTACCTGAAGAAAAATAGATGATTATTAGTTGATATGTGATTTTTCTTCATAATAAGAATGAGTTACTTGGTGAGCCACTAATTCTTCAAGAAAATTTTTGAGAAGATATGGATCATAGAAATAATCTTATTTTGATAGATTTTCAACATCTAAGTGAATTAGAAATATTTTAACCTTAAGTTTTAAGATTATATGTATATGATGGATTAGGTAGAAAAATGGTTGAAGCGGAAGTAAATTTAATATCAATAGAAGTAGTAGAATTCCATCTACCCAAAGTAGAGACAATCACTTAGGCTCTACTATCAAGATGTCATTATGTAGGTGGCATTGATTTGAAAAATATTATAAGTGGCAGTAGGATACTACTACTTATTAATATAAAATTTATTAATTTAAATTCACTAATTATCTATGTCAATGACATACTTATTAGTGGCAAGAACTTTGAGATCCTTGTGAAATGAAAGAATAAATTGCAAAAATGCTATAAGATGAAAGACCTTAGTGGCCTTTTGATTTTTTTTGCATTAGTTTTTTGTAAAACAAAAAAATAATACTTTTAATTTGAGCCAAATTAAGTATATTTATTGAAAGTTTGAAGAATTTTGGAATAAAAGATACAAAAGCAATTGCTACACCATTGGTATAAAGTCATGTCACTATACATGTAAACAATGATCTTCTAGATGCAAAATATATAAAGCTTTATTGAAAAGTTTTAAGTTCATTATTGTATATTACAAATGGTACAAGGTATGACATTGTATTTTCTTATCATTACTTTGATTAATACATGGTACATCCATATGTTTTGCATTGATAAGGAATCAAAAAAATATTTTTTTATTTACATAAAAAATTAAATATTTGATATTATAATATGGAAGAAAAGAAACAAATTTATAATTTATAGGCTATAGTAATGTAAATAGAGTAGATTGTGTCGAAAGACACTATTAAATAAGAGGCTATGCATTTATATTGAGGGGGCAATTATCACTTGGTCAAGTAAGAAACAATCTTTAATTTCTATTCTATTAATAAAAGTAATGTATGTAACTTTGATTACTGCAACAAGGAAGACTTTGTCGCTTTGTAAAGTACTTAAGAATTATGACATTCTTGAATAAAAAAAGGATTTTTAATTATAAAAATAACTATTTCTATTCTCAAGAATCTAGTACACCATAGTATCAAGGACACAAATTGAAAGAAGATACATAAAGTTGTCGAATCTCTATCAAAAGAAAAGTGACAAAAGACAAGAAAGTATGTATATTCAAGGAAGAACTCAAATGGCTATTACTAAAGATTAGAAAATATTAGACTCTTGAAACTAGACTAAAAGCAAAAAAAGAGTTGATAAGAGTGAAAAAGGCCTCACTCTTGCCTCTATATATACTATTGAATTAAAAACTATGTAGCAACATGCTATAGGACCTCTAGTATGCGTCCAACTTGTAGGACACATGTTTAATTTGTAACGCAAGTTTCTTAGATATGCGCCATATGTCCAACTTGTACTACAAGTGGTCAATATGCCAACATGTGGCCTCTTTGTTGGCCAAGTTTTCAACATATCAATCACCTATAGATATATATAAAGGTAAAATAGCATCTATAAAACTTCAACGAAGCTTTCCACAAGATATTATCATATTAATCTACTTTGACTTACTTCTATCTATTTTTATTATCTAGATAATTATCAAGATAAATATGTATGTTTATGATATTATCTCCCTTTTTAGGGACAAATTCCACGAGAAGCGGTAATTACATGTAGATGAAGTCAAAGATGCATCAAACTGTATTTACCACGTACTCTAATCTTTATTCCCTTCGAAGGTAGTTGATAGGTCCCTTCAACCATCAATAATATTTCATACCAAAGTGAGAAGACTATCCTTATATTTGATCATTATTGAGGCCTTCATAACTTCCTTCAAACAAAAAATTAGTAATACCATCAAGAATGGTTTCTACCTCCAAAAGTATTACAAAATATTGGGAGTTCCTTCCAAGGTCGTGGTACCAAATGCATTGTATTTTTCCATTTCTTCAAGGAAGAACATGTAATTTTTTAAAATATTTATATCAATTTTTCTATTTCAAAGGTTGTAATAGTTGCAATGTCTAGTTTAGTAACTAAGCAAATGATTGTTCTTAAATTAAATCTGCTAGTTGTTGGTTTTCCATCTCCTAAGCACTAAAAAATACAAAGAAACAATGATACAAGATAGAATGAAATCTCTATTGGGCTTGCTTTGCTTTATAGCAAAGAATTTCTTAACTCTCTATCTTAGTTTTGATGGATGTCGTTGATGAAAAGCTTTTACTTTGGCTGATGCATTTGCTAGATTGTTGGATGGCTCTCATGTGCATTCATTAATGCCAAATCTACACCAATGTACTAGATATTTTAACCTATTTGAGCATCACCTTGAATCTAAGACTTCTTCTACTTCAAATTCTTTATTGTTGTCCACTTCTATAGGAGGTGGTTGCATTTATCTTCTTTCTTATATATCCATTGTCTTGTATGGTTCAAGTAGAGATACATGGAATACATGATGGATTTTCATAGACTCTAATAGGTATATTCAATAAGCAAGTAGATTGATCTATTTACAAATAGAAAATAGTTCAAGCTTATGATAATTCAGCTTATCACAAAGACAAATCATTTTAATATTACGACAAAGTAACCATATCTTATCCCCTACATGGAATTGAGATTGTTCCTTGCAACAGATATATATATTGGCTTTTTATTGTTCTTGAGCTTTTTTTATTTGTGCCTTCATTGTTGCATGTAGCTCTGACAATCAATTTGCGACATCTTTCACTGCAGGATTATCAACTTTTGAAAAGTTAAAAGTTTCAAATCGTGGATAATAACTGTAATTGGCAAAGAAAGGTGTTTGTTGAATAGAAGAATGTACCAAATTATTGTAAACAAACTCTACCAATGGCAAAAGTGTTGTTCAATCATCTTGTAGATAGTTGATGGTATACCTCAAATACTACTTTAAAACTTGATTTATCTATTCTATTTGTCCATCAATTTAAGGATGGAAAGCTGAAGATGGTTTTATATCCACCTTCAATATTTTGAAAAGAATTCTTCAAAATTTCCATAAAAACTATGTTCCTCTATCTGATATAATATCCCTTGATAATCCATGATAGCAATAGATATTGTCAAGGAAGAGTTTAGATGTTATTTCACATGTGATAGATTTTATACATGATAGAAAATATGCCATCTTGATGAAACAAACTTCAATCATGAATCTAGAATCATATGAACTTGAAATTAGAAGATTCGTGATAAAATCCATAGAAATTGAAGACCATGGTTGTTTTGATA